TTTATTTATAAGATACAAACATTAAAAATAACTGATGAGAAATTAATCAAAAATAAAAATAAAAATAAAACAAAATAATATATAATAAAATGTATGTTCGTCCTGATATGATTTTTATTGGAATTATTTTAATAAAATTGGTTCGTGACTAAGGAAAACGAAGGATAAATTCCTTCAACAAATAACTTTTTTTCTTCTTGATGGAATTCAATTCCATCAAAATACGTAAACCAATAGAATTTGTGATGTAGAACGAATGGCGATTGAGATAGAGCAGTAAATCGATCTTTGTCGTGCCAATCCTGGTTTTATTCAGATGTAGAGTTTGCTGTTTGATTAATATTAAAACATGTTTCTAGTAGTAAAATGGGTCAATTCGTCACTTTGTAATGACGAATGGGTTTTTAAGCCATTCAGGATTGTTGCGGGCCTCAAAATTGCGTTTTTGGCCCGTTTTTGTTTATAGTTCGTATTCATTTTGGGCTTTAGATGTGATGTTCGGTTTTTATTAGTTTTGATTATTAATAAAACCTTTGGAGGTTCGTCCCTTTCTTTGAGTTTGTTGCTCGTAAACTCATTTTCGTCTTTGGAGTTCAATGCTTGTTGACCCACGGTTTCTTGTTGCCTCAATTCGGAAATCCAATCGAACAAAATTTTCTTAATTCCATTTTGATAATATTCTTACCATCACTCATTTGAATTGTTACTAATTAAGCCCATTTTTCAAAGTTTAATCTTTAATTTTATTTGTCACATTCACATGTGAATAGCAATCTTAACTTGTCCATTGCTTGCATGTTTGCTTGTGTTTTCACCATCAAATGATCAAACTTTACTTTTTTCCGATGAATAAAAACCTAAAATGTTGTGATAATTATGAAAACTTACATTTTAAGGTATTATTTTACGTGTTTTATTATATCTAATGCTAAAATTTAAGGTATTCATTAACATATATTTGTTTCAAAATCAAATTTTTTGCATTTACTTTTGTGTCATAGATGATACACATGTGATACTAAATTAGAGACACGAACGATTTTCAATGCGATCTTGGTTGCGGGTCAAGTCGCCTTTACACCACTAAACCCTCTCACATGTATTATCACATGTGATAAGGGTGTTGTTGTTGATATGATGCTATAATCCACCAAGACTATCACATGTGATGCTAAATCATAGATGCAGACAACCTTTGGCGCGTGCTAAGTCGTAGAATACGTCGTCCGCACATCACAAGGTCCCCTTACACGTATTATCACATGTGATCAGGGTGCTTTCGCATTCTCGTAAAATGGAGGTGTTTTCGTTTGAACCTCCACCTATATATATATATATATATATATATATATATATATATATATATTTGATTTCACGTGAAACCAAACTGTTTTTGAGAGACTCGTGAGACCACTTTTTACACTTGAGCCTTCACAGTAAAAACACTGTGAAAGTTACTTTCACGGTGTTTTGCTGTGAAATTTCAAGTGTAAAAAAGTGGTGTCACGGGTTTCACAAAAACATACTGGTCTCACGTGATCTCAAATGTGTGTATGTGTGTGTGTATATATATTGTAATTAAGCATACTTCATTGACCGATTATTTTGGTGGAATCACGTACAAAATAAAGATAAACGTATGATCTTTATGTCGGGGTTCAGGTGACACGTTCCCAAACAAGTTACAAACTTTAACCGAAAGCATTAAAAATAAACGATACTTATAAACGAACGAACGTTAAACGAGTAATTGACCGAGAATAAAACAATGACAACCAAAGGAACATGTAATTCTTTGCTTACCCTTGGTTTGGACTCGGCCTAGATTTGGATTCGATACAGTAATAAAATGTCTAAAATACCCTTCAATAAACCACATATTTGCAAGACTAAAACCAAAGGGTGAGTAAAAGTCAAAAAATACCAAGTGGGACTAGTTGATTTGAGGAGATGACAAATGGGGAAGTATGCACAATTTGGGGGGTTTTTAAGTGGTGTGAAAAGCAAATGTGTCAAGAGAATTGAATGGTGCATGTTGAACAAAGGACAAAAGGGGTACCCTTAAACACCTCTTCTTACTTGTAATTTTCTTTTTCCCCTTTTTCTAGTCATCAAAGGAAGTAAAGAATCCAAGGTTTTCATGTGAATTTTTTCTTTCATTCAATCAATAATCAAACAATTTCTTTATTCAGTAGTCCACGATTCATTTCTAAACTAGATAACGATGCCGATAAACATGACCTCATTGTGGTCCGAGTTGCACGTTTCAACACAACCCCACTTCAAGATTCGTATTTAAAATTGATCAAATAAACATAATTAAAAACGATTATATAGAGATATAAATTATATATATATATATATATGTTGAAAATGGGATGTTTTGATTTGAAGGTTTCCACAATGGGTATGATTTTGCTCCCCACATGGGGATACAGTTTTCCTCACTTTAATTCAAATCTTTAAACATCAATAACAACTTTAGAATCAAGAAATCTAAATAATTTCCCTCCCTTTGCCGCCTCATTTCTTGCATACTAAATTTTAGTAGGCATGGGAATGGGTCCGACCCGTTGGGAAACCCGGTTCACCTGCCCCGATAGGGGACGAGGATTCCCCGTTCAAACCGGGGATGGGGACGGGTATGGTACTCCCCGTCCCGCCCCGTACCCGTTATATATATATTAATTAATAAATTTAATATATATCTATTCATATATAGTATTTAATTCAACTAAAGCATTAATTTATAATTTCTTATTTCCCAACTTGGTTTATAATCTAAAATTGTTATTTTTTGGATGTTAATATGCAATTTTTGGGATGTCAAGTCAAAATACAATTACTCAGTAAATTTTGTATATTACTCGATATGGTTTTATATTACTCAATATCTTTTGATACATGTGAATTTAAGAATTTTTTGATTAAATTAAAAAAAAATTGTTTTAGGTTATTAGTTCTTTTATGATGTTGTGGTTTTTTTTGTATTATATTAGATTCATTTTGGTTTTACGTTTATTGAAAATGTTTGAGATTTAAACATGTATGATCTTTCACATATGTAATTTAAAATAACTTACATAAACGGGAAAAAAAAAAAATCTCCGTTCCCTGTTGGGGATGGGGATGTGATTATATTTCCCGGCGGGGATGGGGAGGGAGACGGGGATAGAGATAAGTAATCGGGGATGGGGACGGGGATTGAGGTCCCTGCCCCATTCCCATGTCCAAATTTTTGGGCTTGTCTTAATACCTCTTAAGTCTGAATCGGTCGGACGATTTTATTTTTAGACCGTTTGATTTTTTTTAAATAAGAGCTGAAAAACTCTTATAGTTCTCTGAATTTTTAAATGGTAGTCTAAATCCTTAATGAGCTCTTATTCACACATGAGGACATCATATCGATCTCTCCCTCTCTCGTTTGATCTCCAACTACCAAATCATACCGATCTATCCACATCATACGATTTGGACACCGTATCGTTCTCTCGCTCGGTCTCGAGCTATCGATCTATCCAAACCAATCTCTCCAAAATGATCACTGCAAACCGATCTCTCCTATCTATGAGTTATTTTATGAGTATAATCAAACCAACGAGCAAGGGGATGATGGTGACACAATTAATACAAAATGAATATTGGTTCTAGTCGTTATGAGACTTTGTTCGTGTTTATATTAATTCAGATTTGAGACTTCAGATGTAAAAACAAACAGTCTGACTGATTCAGATTTCAAACTTCAGCACCATCTCTTATAAATCAAACTTTAGACTTCAGCATTTCTTAAAAAACAAACACCACGTTAATGTAAAATATAAACAAATTGTATTATTGGAAAAAGAATATTGTTACAAGTTAAAGATATTGGATTATTATTTTTTGTAATGATTTTTAAAATGTATTTAATTTATTAGTTTTCTATTAAATTATTAAAAATGTTGGAAGGTTAAGCCAATATGTTTTGGACCATTACCGAACTATACAACCCGTCAATTTGAGTGTGCATAAATCCAAACGCTTCTTAAAACAGACACATATCTTTATGGATATTACACATACAAATATACAATATATACATACCATGTTACGTGTTTATATACAACGACAGATCCAGAACCTCTGACAAAGTTGCAGGCACAACCCATTAAGTGGAGGGTTTTTCTGTACTCTGTTGTCTATCCACCGACACGACAGACACACCCCTATCATGATTCAAAACACTTACGATAACACAAGATGTTTTGCTTGATACCATATCCAAGTTTGACCCGTTGGCATAATGATTTTGTCCGTTTTACTGAAACTCTTCGGTGGCGTTTGTTTTTTAAGAGGTTCTGAAGTCTGATTTCACTTCTGAATTTTAAGAGGTGGTACTGAAGTCTAAAATCTGAATCAGTCAGACTGTTTGTTTTTACATCTGAAATCTGAATCAGTCAAGTTTCGGATCTGATAGATTTGGATCGATCTGGGTCATGATTTTACGAGAATATGTGGATCGATCTAGGTCGTGATTGATTTGGAGATCGAATGTCTTGCGAGATAGATTTGGAGGACTAACTCTGGAGGTGAGGATGGAGGGGAGAGTCTGGAGGGAGCGATTAAGAGGATTTAAGTAATTATGTTATCACTTTTTTTTTCAGAGCAAATTAAGAGCTTTTCAGCTCTTATTTATATAAAAAAACAAACGATATGAAAATAAAAACGTCTGACCGGTTCAGACTTAAGAGGCATTAAGCGGTTTTTTTCAAAAAACAAACAAGCCCTCATTTACTGAAATCCCATCTTTGTCCGTTTTTATATCAAACAAGCAACACCCACGTCACGGTTTCTAAGATTATAATAAAAACACGAACCATAAAGTGGTTTTTTTCAAAAAAACAAACAAGCCCTCATTTACTGAAATCCCATCTTTGTCCGTTTTTATATCAAACAAGCAACGCCCACGTCACGGTTTCTAAGATTATAATAAAAACACGAACCATAAAGTAGAAAACACAGATAAAACCCGACACAATCATATAAACTTCAAAACACACCGTTAAGGTTAATACAAACCAAGTCGAGAACTTACAAGATGTAAATTAGTAGTAACACAAACCCTAAACACCATTAAAAAGCAAAAACCACCATATTTTTTAAAACTAAAAATCTTTAGCAGCATTTGCTGCGGGCTGCATCTTTCTTTTGCAGCCGCCTCAGCCTCACTGTTAAACACAAACCCTAAAAATGCCTGGAAATCTGAAAAAGTTTCCAAACATGTCTCTTCCACCCCTCCATCTTTCACATATTAACTTTCACCACCCCCGATAAAAGCAAAACCCCACTAAACACAATTAACTAAAAGTAGAAGAACATCATTTCCCTATATGGGTAAAATTGGAAATTCACTTCCACCCCTACACCCGGAAATTCTTTCCGGTGTAGGTCTTGCCGAACTGCCAATTCGCTGGAGCTATGTTCCAGGAGGTGGAGGTGCGGCGGTCACTGGAGGTGACCCTGAAAGAGAGTGGTTGACCCGTGAGGACGGCGTTTGATTGCCAGTTTTGCCCCCAGTTACGACTCATACTCATCCAGTTGGTTTTCGTCCCTTTGATCCAAACTTTCTGTATATCACCCGCACCTGCAACGTTGCTGATCAAAACCAAGTTAAAGTAACGGAAACCGTTAATTGTGAACCTGATCCCGCCGGCTTTCCGGCATGGCACCCTGCGTTAATTGCAACAAACATTAAGGTTAGTTTCGTCAATTTGGAAAAGTGGACATGTTAGTGTGCGACGAGGGACTACACATAAACCGTAGGGACGCAGTACGGCAATCTTCCTCGCACATTAAAGACACTTGTCCCTACCGTACCTGCCTTATTGAAACCAACGGCCGTGATTTCATCAATCAAATTCCATTAACGGTAGACAAACCACCATAAATCACGCGTTCGTATCCACCGTAATTATGGTGGGACCTATAATACTTACACAAATCACATGGCAAACGTCTCACATGCAGTCAACCAAACAACACCGTACCCATTAAATTTTCTTAGTTGCATTTAGCTCACCAATCTTTACAACATTTATAAATTCGCCCCATGTGAAATAACTACCCTTAAAAACAGTTGAAAACAAGCTTTTACGCTAGCCATAATTTCAACATCTAAATATGCACCCATCACTTGTACCTTATGCATCTATGGTTGTACCATAAAAATAGTGTGGTCAAGTTAGATTTTAATTTCTAGAGCAATTTTGTTATAATTGGTAGTACAGGGCCATTTTTGTTAATATAAATTAGTTCAGGGGTGAAAATGAAAATTTTAAAGGCCGGAAGTTCGGGTTACCGGATATGGATTCACGGAAAAAAGGAAATTTGTAACTAAAATAGAGTAATATATTCGAGGGTATTTTGGTAAACTTTCACGTGAAACATTCGAACGAAAAAAGTAGCTTGTACTTTGTGCATCGAAAGTTGTACATAATGTATTTTTAGAGGGAAGTGCATACCGGCGGTAAGAGACGGGGACGATGCCGGCGCGATACTCGGCGATTTTAAGGAACATGGGCATGGCGAGATCGAAGTGGGTACGAGGAGGGTTGCACCACCCACCATTGTCGTTAGGGAGAGCGTAATTCGGAGGGCAGAAATTGGTGGCGGTGACGGTGATGGAGGGGCTACCAGGGTGGCACCACCGAGGGTCATCAGCGCACTTGATTTCAAAACACGCGCCGCAGCTAAGTCCCTTGTTGAACAGCGCGGTGCTGAGCGCCGCCGTGTTGACTCCGTAGCCTTGGCTGTATAGATTTCCGTACCCACAAGCACCTCCTGTAAAACAGACGCGAATTAAGCCCTAAAGTTGGGTAAAAATTGAGAGAATTCGAAGGTTCTGGAAGATGTGCATAAGCCAGTTGTACTCTACAGCTATAAAACCGCTAATGCACACGAAATTCTGGTAAGATTTTCGGAGATTTCAGGATACGAAGATTCTAGAAGATGTAATTCATGATTGAACAATGCGATTGAATTGTTACATACCCATGGTACCGGAGGCGTCGCTTCCACCGTAGAATGTAGCATGAGCACCTTGCCAAGCGCCGCCGGCGTAGTTTCCAGGAATTCTACCGTCGGCAAGGGACAAGGCGGAGAAGATAATGAAGAGAATGCCGGAGACGATAGCCATTTTAGGGCAGAAACAAGTGAGTAAAGAGAGAGAAAGTAACGGGTGGGGGGGATGAGGAGAAAGTGCAGGGGGTGTTGGGGGTACTTATGGAGAAGACTTGGGATGTCAGAATGTAATTTCACATATTCCATGATACGACGACGTATTTAAAGTTCGGTCTGCTTACGACCCATGGTACAACATTACTGACAAAAGAAAATGGAAAAAGAAAAACCATAAATTGTTCTTTGCTGGTTGTGGGCCCATTTAGATATCATTGGGTCCCACCTTTACTTTAATATATATATCTTTTACGAATGTTCTTATAATTTCAATATACACCTTTTTTTATCAACGTATTAAAAATTAAAATAATGATCCATATATATATATATATGAATCAAATAGTATTTGAATTTGATTAATCATATCTATACTATATTATAAAGCATTTGATAAGAACTTTTAAAAATCATTTTATGCATGAAGTACTGTTTATTTATGCATATTACTTAAAATTCAAAATTAGAAGTAATTTTGCGTATGTACAACTTATTAGAGCTCTATTTTTAAATTTTTGTAACTAACTACAAATAAACATAATCAAATACAGGATAAACATTCATTTTAAATATATAAAATCTAAAATATAATAAAGATAATCATTAAGTTCCAAAAAAATACTTAATTATTATCTTTATAAAAAATTATATTATTAAACGAAAAACAAAAAACTGAATTAAAGAAATACACAAAAAATGAGATATTTTAAATAATTAGTTTGACACTAATATAAAAAAAGTCATTTTTTATGATATATCTTCATATTTTTATTTTTTACGTTTCTCGTTAAATTATACGAGTATCATTCTAATTTATTAATAACATTTCAATAAGATAAATATTTTAACCCAAATGACAAGATACATAATTTTTTTACCTTACAAAAATAAATATAAAGAAATTAACAAGTTAAATTAAAGAAAGTCTCATGGATTATAGCAAAAAAAGTATTTTAAGTATTTTTTTTTTTTTGGAAAATAGAAATATTTATTGAAATTATTTGAAGAAATAAAAACAATGAAATGGAATGAATCATATTCGATAAATATTCATTTCTATTCCTACAGAATAAATCAACATATTTTTTTATACCTTAATTAACTACAGAGTCAACTATAAATTTGGTTCATGTGATTTGTCAAAAAATAATTATTTTTTTATGGTTTTAAAATTATAAGACGAGTAGATGATTATTATGATTTGTAAAAACGTTTGAATTTAACCACATGGGTGGTGTTTGATTGGTTTGAGTTTGGCTCCAAAGGTCAAAAGTAGCAGGAGGTCTCAGATTCAAATCCAATGAGTAATATTAAAAGTTGATTTTAGATATTAATTAAACCTATTTAAATTAATAATCTAATATTCATTAATAAACTAAAACAAGAAATGTATGTGAATTGATTTATCGTTTAAATAATAAAAACATGTTAACCATAAGGATGGTGTCTGATTGGTTTGAGCTTGGCTCCAAAGGTCAAAAGTACCAGGAGGTGCCATGCAACTCCGGACTATCTGCAAAACATGTGATCGTCCTGAGATTAGTCGGCTTGTATAACGGGTTGGATATCCAGGTTAATAAAAAGAAAACATGTTAGTAATATTCATCTGTAAGATTAATCGCCGTTAAATAAAATTTAAGATAATTTTTTTTCTATTTTCAAAATGCTACATGCACTATTAAAAATACGAGTTACTATGGCATGTAAAACGCTTATGCAAGGGGGGTTTTGACAATAACTCAGAGTCTATTATAACAACAACGGTGGTGTAGCTTATAAATGATAAATTTTTTATCAGTGTTTTGATAGTGTAGTTGACATTTTATTCAAATCAACTGTTTGTAGATTTTCATGAGTTTAAGGGAGAACCATACAAAAACAGAGAACATAGAACTCATTATCAACCATCGATCGGATGTGAATAACAAGGGACGTTATATATAATTTTATGTAACTAACTCTACGATTACAGTGACGATTGTATTTGAATCTAAGGGGCTGTTTACCAAACACTTACCCAGGTAAGTGCTTACCAAGTCACATTACCTTACCAGATGAATATGACGAAGACCAAAAATCTTATCCGGCAAGGGCGAAGGCAAGGAGCAAGAGTCTTACCCAGTAAGTGAGGACGACAACTTTTACAACGGTTAGCGCTTACCGGGTAAATTGTTGCATATGATGCCGTATTGGTGGACTAAAATCGTACCTAGTAAGTAAGTGATAGTGTTATATTTTACCGATAACCGCTTACTGGGTAAGTATTTGATAAACGGCTCCTAATCCATCTATTATTTTCGATCCAATAAGTTGATGGACGCTTCGCTTGGTTCTCCATTTTTTGAGACTCTATTTTCAACCACCCTCTAGATCGAAAATTTATTTACCTTTTATGAGAATTGTCTGTCGGTGATTTTTTATTGTGTGATTTTTAGAGCATGTTCCACATTTCTTTTCATAATTTCTTCAAAATTATAATAAATAAGAATCAAAATCTCTAAATAAATTACATTCAGTCTGAACAGTTTTTTTTTTCATTTTTAAGATTCTAACTTTAATTATAGGGATATTCACCAAAATATACTTGATATATTAACAAAATAACCAAATTTACCAAAATCGAGGCAAATAGTGTTTGTACCCTAAAGGGGATGCATGTGAGACCCACCAAAATGATTTTTTAATATTTTTTTGGTCAAAGAAGGGGGGATCGCCCCCGTGGTCAACCCTCACCCCCGGGGCGATCCGTGTGAGTATTTTCGCAATTTTGGTAAAAGTTGGTTATTTCGTTAATATATCATGTATATTTTGATCATTTTGGTGAATTTCCCTTAATTATATTATTAAAATATCTGATAATACAAAAAGATATTATCTTTCTTACTCCATTTATTTTTATTGGTATGTTGAGAAATTTTTTTTTGGTGAAATTACAGAAAATCATCTTCTCTTCCATCGGTTAGTCTTGGAGGATTCTTAGTATTTGTAGAAATTTCTTTCTTCTCTGCACTGTCTATTTTGAAAGAAGCTATCAAAGCAAAAAACCATACAAGCTACAAAATTCCATTTTCTGCGTTTTTGAACGAGTTGATGGAGACGTTTTCGAAGATTTACCGCCGTGTCGATTGTTGTGGTTGTAACGGCGGTGCCAGGGTGGTAAGGTGGGAGGCGATGCTGATGATGAAAACATTGAAAAATATTTAGATTTAATTACAAATAATACAAAATAATTGTACTAAAACGATATTAGTATTTTTTTTTTCATGTTAGACAATAATAAGAACATTCAAGTTGTTATTGATTTAATGCAGTTCATTTAACGGTATGTAATGTGTGAGACGTAAAGTAAGGGAAAAAAAATATGGTTGGGATCGACGAACATGGAAAAACCTAACCAGGACTATAACTAAATGTGTTTGATTCAATTTTTGATCTGGTTCACCAACCAACGTCAAAGTAATTTTTATTTTTTAAAACTTGTAGTGACCTTGTTTGTGTAAAAGGGTTCCGTACTCGACAACCCCTGGCCTAGCTCACACGGGCCCATAGCAAGAGTATCGTATGATAGGCAAATGCCGCAAATTAAGTACATGACGCTGATGAAGAACCGAATGCCCATAAATAGCCAAATTTCTGAAGAAATTTCAACTTCCACTCTGTTGTAGTCAAAACTCAAAACTATTTCATGTTTGCACATATATACCACTGCAGATTTTCAATTATAACAACAGTGCTTTGATTTACGTAATCTAAAACTAAAACAAAATCCGTTGTCTACTCAATTCATAGCACGGATCTTCGAGATCAAATCAATATTAAATCATAACCAAACAAGAACAAATCAATCTAAATCGATTTGTTTCTCGGTTTCAATCCGACCCATACCTTATACCGTATTCATTGTATGTATGTAATTAATTAATTTTTTATTAACCTGAATATCCAACCCGTTATGCGGGCCTACTAATCTCAGGGCGATCATCTGCTTTGCAGATAGCCCGGAGTAACCGCATTTGAACCTCTGTGGTCACAAGGGGATTTTTATTCCTCGGATTTGAACCTGAGACCTTCTGTTACTTTTAACCTTTAGAGTCAAGCTCAAACCAATCAGACACTACCCTTGTGGTTATGTATGTAGTTAATTCGAGACTATGCTAAATACACTCATTATACATACTAGTGTTTGACACCATGCGTTGCATGGTGACAATAATCTTTTTTAAAATTACTGAAGTTAGCTAAATGAATAGATGATTATATTTATATATCAAATTAATAAGAATCAATATTACATTTGATATATGAATTCACCTTATCATTATTGGTTGTTCTTTTAATATATATATATATATATATATAGAGAGAGAGAGAGAGAGAGAGAGAGAGAGAGAGAGAGAGACGATTAAATGAAAACCACTCCAATTTGTAAAAACCGTAAAAACTACTCTCATTTATCGATTTCATTATTTAATCTTATGAAATTTTTCCATGAAATTGTTTCATATAATACTTTTTTTATGAAGTTGTTTCATATATGGTTATGAAATTGTTTTATATATTACTTAATAAAATTTTAATGAAACTGTTTCATATATTTCTCTAAAATTAAAATAATGAAGATGATAATATCCATGATTAACAACCTCCACAATAAAAATGATTAATCAACCTCTCATAATTACAAAAAAAAATGAACAAAATGAAAAATTATGATTGGTGGAATAAGGTTTTTACAAATTGAGTGGTTTTTATTTGATCGCTCCTCATATATATATATATATAATTAATTAATTAATTAATTAATAAGTCTTATATATCAATCTTTTATTATATCAAACTTTG